TGTGAGATACTCAATAGATTTTTAGCTATATGTGGCACACATAACATCTTCCAAGATGAAGTAATTTAGGATGCAGCCAACTCACCAGAAATTGGTCGACTTTCTTCCAGTTGAAATAGCTTGGATTTGTTTCTTGACTATTGTTTCTGAGCTCTATCTTTCTCGAATTTGAACATTAGAGGACAGCCTTCTCCAGTGATAAATCCTTCCAGTCCATGAGAAATTAAAGCTGGTAGGATTTGTGAACACTAGAACGTATAGTTTTTCTCTAGTAATTTGACAGAAATGGATGGTAATGTGGGTGGAATGTTGGAGTTTGTGAGGAATAAGAAATCAGCATCCATATCGTCTGATTTAGAAGCTGATTTAGCTGAGGTTTATCAACAATCACATTGACCTGGTCTAAGGCTTTGATACCATGAAAGTTTTCCAGAATCAAGAAACAAAAAAGAGGGATTTAGACGACTCTAGAAGAAAGTCAATACTCTGTTTCTGATATTTCTATCTGAACTATTTACTAAAAACAAAAATAAGAGGCTGTTATATACTCAGCCAATCAGTAGAAAAACGTAGCGTTTCATGCTGCTCTAAAACTAAAACGCAGTGTTTCAACCATTTTTAATACAAACCAAGCTACTTTTAAAAACCTTACAGATACGTCCTTACAATTGATTTGCTTTACTCTGTTCAATATCTTCACTTGAACTAAACGTCCTGGGCAGTCTTCTCTACCACATTCTCCCTAACAGAGTGGAATCACCTTGTTCAAATATATATATATACTATAATTCAATGGTCGACAGAATTTTTTTAGAGTTTTTAATTCATTTCAAGTACACCCATTTGGATTTAGATCAAAATTTGCAATTAACACTTCATGATTAATTAAAATAGATTTCTTTTGGTCTATCTTTTGTACTTAGAGAAAACTAATTATGCTTTGTAAATATAGCTAATTGAAAAACAAGTATGGCCTAGTAATAAAGGCAATCAAGATCTTGATTCATCTAAAATCAATAAATAAAAAATACATATATTTCATCTGATGATCATCATCTATTTGGCCACACATACATATATTAATTATTTTCTTTATTTTATTGTATAGTGCTTGGTTACAGTGGAGCAAGGTATTATCAAATTGATGACTAGAAGAATGGAACTCCATGAACTGGGGCAAGAATTTTGTTTAAAGTGGGGGACAATGACATTCTTTTCGCCAACATTTTGATGAATGTTTATAGCATTGTGGAAAGGATCAAATTGCAACAAGAAGACATGTTTGAGACATGTTTCTGAACACAAAGTAATTTTGTGATTGAAAAGAGAAACAACAAATTAAAATAATGGAAATAAGATAACACAACCTCTCACACTGTCTCTCTCTTTCTTACTTTTGAAATGTTAATAGAGTTTAATTCAATTTTCCCCTTGAGATTTCACTTATTAATAACATTTATTTTCCTTCAGATATTCTAAATAACAATTTATTCTTTCTCTTCATTATTTTGTTAAAATTTATTTAACAGTTCAAAAGTGATATATATACATATATGCAGTCAAACGATAAGAATTGTAACAAAACACTAACATAAAAGAGTAAAATGTTATTTTAGATAAAAAAAATTCTATTATCTATGTAACTTTATATTACCCTTGATTTGTTAAATTAAACATGAAACTCAATAAAATACTAACGACGAGGAATAGATTGTCATTTCATATATCTAAGAGGGAAAATTATATTAAACTCAAGTAAAAATTATTTGTTTGTTTCTCTTGTAGTAAGAGGCTTGATTATGTTCCAAATACATGCATCATGTCAAAGAATTGACTATATTTTCTTTTTGTTTGAGAATTGAGGTGACCCTCCCTTAATGTAAGAAAGCACTAGTATCCTCTTTGTCTTTGTGATGAAACCATAAGGAGAATGCATTGAATCTTGGTAATGGACTTACCAGACCTAAATTATTATTTCCTCAAATAGGTCATTGGGAGCAATGGGACCCTTTGGAAGGAAGTTCATAATCTTCTTTACCACTAAATAATCATCTTCAAGTATTGTCTATAAAAACATGTAAGATGTAAGATTTGAGACTTGCATGATGTATAAATAGTTCAATCTTTCAATGTTAAGATAGATGAGGTAAAATGATGTATAATGAGTTGCATATCGCCTTGTTAGAAAGAGTGCAAGTAATTTTAAATATTCTTATAACTATTCTCAACAGATACTTATAAAATCTGTATAAACCCTAAACTAAATAATACTATGTGAAGAAAATCTATAATATTGCAATAATGATACAACATCAATTGTATTACGAATCACATAATTATGATTTATGTGAGTTGTTATTTAAATTAGAGAAAGTAGTAACGCATGGACACAATTTAGTAAAAGAAAGGTAGTCCATGATTTGGACTTTGAGGTGCTATATTATCAACTCAAAAAATTAAACTAATTTACAAAATCATCCAGACCATCCTTCAAAAGTCCTTGTATAAGTACCCTTTTGGTGGCCTTATCCTTTATTACACAGTGATCAGACAACAACATCATTATCTCTAGTTATTTGTGAGATACTCAATAGATTTTTAGCTATATGTGGCACACATAACATCTTCCTAAGATGAAGTAATTTAGGATAGCAGCCAACTCACCAGAAATTGGTCGACTTTCTTCCAGTTGAAATAGCTTGGATTTGTTTCTTGACTATTGTTTCTGAGCTCTCATCTTTCTCGAATTTGAACATTAGAGGACAGGCCTTCTCTCCAGTGATAAATCCTTCCAGTCCATGAGAAATTAAAGCTGGTAGGATTTGTGAACACTAGAACGTATAGTTTTTCTCTAGTAATTTGACAGAAATGGATGGTAATGTGGGTGGAATGTTGGAGTTTGTGAGGAATAAGAAATCAGCATCCATATCGTCTGATTTAGAAGCTGATTTAGCTGAGGTATTATCAACAATCACCATTGACACTGGTCTAATGGCTTTGATACCATGAAAGTTTTCCAGAATCAAGAAACAAAAAAGAGGGATTTAGACGACTCTAGAAGAAAGTCAATACTCTGTTTCTGATATTTCTATCTGAACTATTTACTAAACAGAAATAAGAGGCTGTTATATACTCAGCCAATCAGTAGAAAAACGTAGCGTTTCATGCTGCTCTAAAACTAAAATGCAGTGTTTCAACCGTTTTTAATACAAACTAAGCTACTTTTAAAAACCTTACAGATACATCCTTACAATTGATTTGCTTTACTCTGTTCAATATCTTCACTTGAACTAAACGTCCTGGGCAGTCTTCTCTACCACATTCTCCCTAACAGAGTGGAATCACCTTGTTCAAATATATATATATACTATAATTCAATGGTCGACAGAATTTTTTTAGAGTTTTTAATTCATTTCAAGTACACCCATTTGGATTTAGATCAAAATTTGCAATTAACACTTCATGATTAATTAAAATAGATTTCTTTTGGTCTATCTTTTGTACTTAGAGAAAACTAATTATGCTTTGTAAATATAGCTAATTGAAAAACAAGTATGGCCTAGTAATAAAGGCAATCAAGATCTTGATTCATCTAAAATCAATAAATAAAAAATACATATATTTCATCTGATGATCATCATCTATTTGGCCACACATACATATATTAATTATTTTCTTTATTTTATTGTATAGTGCTTGGTTACAGTGGAGCAAGGTATTATCAAATTGATGACTAGAAGAATGGAACTCCATGAACTGGGGCAAGAATTTTGTTTAAAGTGGGGGACAATGACATTCTTTTCGCCAACATTTTGATGAATGTTTATAGCATTGGGGAAAGGATCAAATTGCAACAAGAAGACATGTTTGAGACATGTTTGTGAACACAAAGTAATTTTGTGATTGAAAAGAGAAACAACAAATTAAAATAATGGAAATAAGATAACACAACCTCTCACACTGTCTCTCTCTTTCTTACTTTTGAAATGTTAATAGAGTTTAATTCAATTTTCCCCTTGAGATTTCACTTATTAATAACATTTATTTTCCTTCAGATATTCTAAATAACAATTTATTCTTTCTCTTCATTATTTTGTTAAAATTTATTTAACAGTTCAAAAGTGATATATATACATATATGCAGTCAAACGATAAGAATTGTAACAAAACACTAACATAAAAGAGTAAAATGTTATTTTAGATAAAAAAATTTCTATTATCTATGTAACTTTATATTACCCTTGATTTGTTAAATTAAACATGAAACTCAATAAAATACTAACGACGAGGAATAGATTGTCATTTCATATATCTAAGAGGGAAAATTATATTAAACTCAAGTAAAAATTATTTGTTTGTTTCTCTTGTAGGAAGAGGCTTGATTATGTTCCAAATACATGCATCATGTCAAAGAATTGACTATATTTTCTTTTTGTTTGAGAATTGAGGTGACCCTCCCTTAATGTAAGAAAGCACTAGTATCCTCTTTGTCTTTGTGATGAAACCATAAGGAGAATGCATTGAATCTTGGTAATGGACTTACCAGACCTAAATTATTATTTCCTCAAATAGGTCATTGGGAGCAATGGGACCCTTTGGAAGGAAGTTCATAATCTTCTTTACCACTAAATAATCATCTTCAAGTATTGTCTATAAAAACATGTAAGATGTAAGATTTGAGACTTGCATGATGTATAAATAGTTCAATCTTTCAATGTTAAGATAGATGAGGTAAAATGATGTATAATGAGTTGCATATCGCCTTGTTAGAAAGAGTGCAAGTAATTTTAAATATTCTTATAACTATTCTCAACAGATACTTATAAAATCTGTATAAACCCTAAACTAAATAATACTATGTGAAGAAAATCTATAATATTGCAATAATGATACAACATCAATTGTATTACGAATCACATAATTATGATTTATGTGAGTTGCTATTTAAATTAGAGAAAGTAGTAACGCATGGACACAATTTAGTAAAAGAAAGGTAGTCCATGATTTGGACTTTGAGGTGCTATATTATCAACTCAAAAAATTAAACTAATTTACAAAATCATCTGAAAAACACACGCACACACAATATTTGATGCTGATCCTCAAGTTGGTAGATATGCATGTAGCCATTAACAAGAATCCCCTAGTGGCTTTCTTCTCTTATTTATATACGCTTCCACCATTAAGCATCCTTTTATGTAGCTTGTTTAACTTAATTATACTACAAAAATACATGAAATTATATATAATATCATATATATAATTCATTAACAATGAGATAAAATACATGAAATTATATATAATATCATATATATAATTCATTAACAATGCCATCACATCATCATTTTAAGCTATGCTTTCATCTCCATTAATATTCCCATTATTATTCTTTGACGAATTATTGCTATTGTGGCTCAAATCCTCCTCTTGTTTCATCATTTGATCATATTCCTGCTTCCGATTGACTAATGGAGTTGAATTACGAGAATGCCATCTTGCCCAAAAGAGATAATTCACAAAATTGAGTATACTGAGCAATGCTAGCATCCAATAGAAGAGGTCTAATCGGTCTTTATTGAGATCATTGTCACTAAGCCATCCTTCCTTTGAAGTTCTTGAAGTAATTTTGTTCACCACAGAAACCAAAACTGAGCTTAAATAGAATCCAATTGAGTATGAACAGTAGGTTAAAGATGTTAAAAATGCCTGCATGCCTTGAACGGATTGTTTGTAGAAGAACTCAATCAATCCAACGGCTGTGAACATTTCCGAGAGGCCGAAAATCAAGAATTGTGGGGTGATCCAGAAGATCGATATGATTTCGTTCGAGTTTACAGCTAGGTCTCGTCTTTTCTTCTCCATCAGGGCAGCTGCAACCATTGAAAACGTTGCGGCGAAGAGTCCGACGCCGATTCTTTGAAGAGGGGAGATGCCTGATTCATGGCCTGTGAATTTTCTTGCAAAGGGAACGAAGAATGTGTCATAGAGGGGTACCAGGAAGATGAGGATAATGTAGGGGATGGATTGAAGGGAAGCTGGAGGAATGCTGAAGGAATTTGTGAGTTTTGCGTTCATGGTGCTCCCTTGTTGGACTGAAAATGTTTGAAGCTGAGCTAAAATTGTATTGAAAATAATTGTGCAAGCAAAAATTGGCACCACTGAAATTATAACTTTGACTCGTTCAACTTGAGTGACAGTGCACAATCTCCATGGACTTTCTTTTCTGCCGCTTCCATCTTCAACGTTGATGCAGGCTTTGTCCAAGAATCTGATAAATATAAATTGATTGTAAGTAGGATCTAATTTGAAATTACTCGACATGTTTTCAAAAACGATTTTCAAATATAATCTTAAAAACTAGTGCAAAGTTAGACTATTATGGTTAATAATGGTTTTCACGGTTTTCTATATATAGTTTCTAATATATAAACAGAAATCAAACATATTTAATTTTTTGAAAATTATTTTCATATGAGAAATTATAAGAACTGTAATTACCTGAACCTTGGTGTTTGGAGGAGTCCTAAATTGTTTGAATTGTCGCAGGTCAGATTGTTTTGGCTTCCATGGAGCATCTCAGGGTTAGAGGGACAAATTTGTTTTCTCTTTAAAATGGCTGCTACAAAAACCTGAAAAAATTGGAGAAATTATGGTTAATTATTGAGGGTGAATGATTCATCGTGGTAAAATTAAAAATAATATTCTAGGACAATATGATACATTTTGGGAACAAGCTTTTCGAAGACAATGAGTCAGCAGACAGCTTTATGTTTATTTGTCTTGATAGAGCCTTATATTATTGAACAACCTAATCAGCCAATTAAAACAGTTAACCCCATAATTTGAAATTTAATATTAAGATTCTATTCTTGATTTTCAACAAAAAGAACTACTAAACTATCTATATATTTCTGTCTTTGGATCATTTGAAACTATTATATATACTAAATTATTAGTTATTCTTTTATGTGGATGTCCTCGTTTTTTTTTAAATCTGAATCTTTTACGACAGGATAGGTCCAGATTTTTAAAAACTCAGGATATTCGCACCTCAGATTTTTCATATGAAACTTTATATATCAATCAAAGACTTATTGATAATTACCTGAGTAATGGGGGTGAGGAGGCTGCCTCGAGGGGGCTGGTTTCTATAATAAAGAGTGCCAGAAACCAAGCTGATGAGGCCAATTGCCATGGCAGCCGCCGAGACTCCGAAGCCAACATCCATGCCGGAATGAGTTTGGACATAAACAAGAACTGTGAGGGCAATAAGTTCACCCATGGAGAAAGCAAAATATGCAGCATTGAAGTAGGTGGAGAGCTGCTTTGATTGCCTGGGATTGTTCTGATTGAATTGGTCACCTCCATGAGCAATCATGTTTGGCTTCACACATCCACTGCCCAAGGCCACTAAATAAAGTGCTAGAAAAAATATAAAGGCCTTGAAGCCCTTTGCTTCTTCACAGTTTGCCCGATCAGTTATTATATTGCAAGGTGGTGGCTTCATTTGAGGAAGATGAGCTTGGACTGATAATAATATAAATCCCTGAAAATTTATTTTTACATAAAACCCATTTGTTATTTTCTAGCGTGTTTGCAAAATGAAAAGAATTTACATCTTATAATGCACTGAAATGTTTATTATAAAGTTATCTTTGTAATATTTTAAATCATGATTCTTATTCTTACTTACAGTTTTATACTGAAAGAAAAAAATCTGTCTCTTGATTCTAAAATATTAAGGATGTTGCAACTGAGAATTTACAAATATTAACTTTATTGATTCGAGAAAAAGACTTACGGAAAGTTCGACAAAACCAAAGATGACCATGGTCCAGAAAGTCCCAAGATAAGAATCTGAGAGGTAGCCACCAAGGAGGGCCAAGAGAAAGATGGTGCCAATAAAATTTGTCACTATATTTGCTGAGTTTGACAGAGAGAAGTGCATCTCATTTATTACATAAGTAATCAGATTGTTCCCAACTGCAGCAATGGCCATTATCTCAAAAGCTTGAAGCCCTGCAGCCGATAGTACGATCAAACTGTAGTGAGCAATCAAGAAAACCATTTCACAATGTTTTTTTTTTTTTTATATATATATATATATAAAACAAAGTGGGATGAAATTAATTAACTCCCCTCACTTTCACCACTAAGTTTACTGTTTTACCCACTATAATAAAATATATGAATATTCATGAAAATTTCAAAGAAATGAACGGCAATTAAGTTGTGCAACCAGAGTGACAAAAAACCAAGAACACTTATGACTTCTTGCCAAAAGTTGTGAGTTGAAACCAATCAACAACTGGCTAACTGAGGCCTGAGCTTGCTTCTTCATCTAAAACTCTCTCAATAGTCAGCTATGAGAGTTAGTGAAGAAGATATAACTCTGAAATTTATGCAAAATCATAAACATGTATAAGATCAAAAGATAGATCACGTAAAAACGTATATCTATTTAATAAATTTGCTGGTACTATCAAGGTTTGGAGAAAACAATAACAGTATATATATACCGAGAACGAAAACGGCGGCTTTCATTCCTCCATGTTTGTCAGGGTTGGAAGGTCTGCCTCTCCAATCAACAGTGTTGTCTTCAACAAGAATCCTTGCTTCCATTTCCATTTCTCTCTCTCTCTCTCTCTCTAAGATTTTGTTTTTCTGTGTGCAAAGAATGAAAAGGAAGAAGATGGCATGCAAGTTTGATATACGAAGATGATGAAGTGGAATCAATTGTTGTCTTACTCAATGGGGAAATTGAGGTGAATTTATAAGCCAAAGAGGTGATGGCCAACCTCTTACTAGATTTCACAGTAGCTTCAAACTCTATGATGAGAAAGTTTTAAGCCCCACACGCACAACAAACCACGTGGACAACACTTGATCCAGATAAAGAATACACCATTTTTTTTTCCTATCTATTTCTTATTAATTATTATTATTGTTATTTGTTATTAAGCATTTCTGAGTGTGTCTGTCATAATAGTATATGTTTATACTATTAAAACCAAAGAATTTTTAGATATTGTTTTTCCATTTAAGGGGTTTGTATCAAGTTTTAAACAAATATTTTTTTTTTAAAATATAAGAAAACTGTTATGATTTTTGTATGTTTAATATTTTGATCATGTGTTTTAAGGACACACGTTAAAAATATTTATTTGTTTATTAATATTAATTTTGACATTAGAAGCATATTCTCCTTTAATCCAATGGTCATGTGTATATTGATAATCTTGTGTTGGATAGAGTTGACACATGGAGTTGTCTTTTTGGCATTTATTTTATTTTATTTTATTTCTTTTCTTCTCCCTCTTTCGGTGGTCCATGTCACGTGTGTTCTTTCCTAGTATATTCCTTTCATTCATTTATTTATTCTTGTAAAATTGGATATATAATATTATTTTCAAAATTTTTATTTCAAATATAATTTTTTTTTTTTTTTTTGTAATGATTTAATATCTTTATATAAAAATAACTTAATGTTAACAGAACAATTCCCAAGTTCAGATTCCCATGATTCTATTATTGCCTTGCTCAAAAAACACAAACAATGAATTAATTGAGGGGTTAAATGAAGAATGAAACCACCATTTTTTGATATTGATAGATAAATATAATAAGTGATATGATAAGAGTTTTATTTGAGATAAAGCTATTGGGACTTCGGTTAACACATTTCGGTGAAGATTACCCATTTTTAAAATGCAGTGGAATATTTACCAAGTTGATTATGTAAATCCAATTTGAACACATCAAACATAGGTGTAGAAAATAAAGAATACAACCATATACATGGTTCGGCTAAATCCACTTTTAGCCTACATCTATGAGACCTTGTCTAGATCGAAGCAATCCACTAATTCAAAAACACATTATAAGATATAATTCAAAACTGATTTAAGTTATAGTAAAAAGAACTCCCTGTTCAACTTTACACTTAGCACCACACTCTAAATCTTTAACGTGTAGCAACTTCTTGGACCTTCTTTACGCTGGGAACACACTCGAGAACAGTTTGTAAACCACCAAGCTTCAAGCACCGACACCTCGCACCCACATCAGCAAAGGAACAACGTTCCAAGAGCCATCAAGTCTATGATTGATATGGTGAGGTTTTGACACTAATGGAAAATGAACTTTGAACCTTAAGAGAAAGAATACTCTAAGAAATTCAGAGTATAATGAAACAAAATGTCAAAAGGTTAGATTCATTTACGCAAGAAGAAGAATTATATAATGAAGGGTTTCTTGCTCAATAATAAAGTGCTATGTCAGCCAACAAGGGGCTGACCCTTGTTTGTCCAAATAAGGAAAGTATTCCTTCTTTTTGCTTGGATCACAAAGCAAATCGGGAAAGATAACTTTATTCCCTAGGACCACCAAAACATTTTGTGACATATGTAAAGAGGTCCTAAAAAGTAAGAGACAAAAATAAACAATATATTTTCTACTTTATCAGGCATGCAACTCGTGCTGAGTTGCAAATATTTGAAGCGAGAGTGTAAGCACAGATCGTTGTGCACACACACTCGAAATAAAACAGGCTAAGACACAAGTCTAACAGTCAGTGTGCATGTAGAATTGATGTGCACATACATGATAAAAGAAACAAGCTAAGTCAAATAATTGACAACCAGTGTGTACACATAATTATTGTGCACACACACTACTCATAAGTTTGACAAATATGAGTATTCCACAAAAGCAAAGTTCAATTATGAAGTAATTAATTAATTTAATATCTCTATATGGAAAATAATGTGGGGTTTATACAACTGTTCCCAAGTTTAGGTTCCTATGATTCTATTATTGTAAGTCTCGCCCTTAAAACACAATAAAGAATGGGACATCCATTTCTCTGTTTTCCCATATAATAGATGATATGATAATAATACGTCGTTTTTACACATTATTTGAGATGAAACATTTAAAATGGCTTTATAAAAGCATAGTATTACTCATAGATATATCTATAAATCCTAGTGAATTAATTAACTATTATGATGTATCTATAAAATCTATTTTACTCAAGTAATTAATTAACATAATATCTCTATAATGAGGGGTTTATAGAACCATAAATTTCCAAGTTAGATTCCTATTACTATCTCACCCCGAAAAATACAAACCTGAATTAAGTGAGGGATATGATAGAAAATGGGATATGATAATAAAATATGTCGAGTATTTGCACATTGGAAAATGCTATGTTTACAATATTTTTTTACAAACTTTCTCTCATAACCCCGACATAACAGCTCGTAATTGGTTAACTCGTAATGGGTCTCACCTAATAAATAGCGGTTGACCAATTGTGAACTGTCACGTCAGAGTTGTGAGAGAAAATTTGTGAGAAGAAGTTGTGAGTGTAACATTACTCTTACACATTATTTGAGAGAAAACATTTAATCTATCCAAGTGAATTAATTTAATTGATTTAAACTATGTTTTTTTATAAATTAAAATGAAGTTTACTAGCTCTTAAAATCATTTCCTATAAAAATAAAGGCTATCATCTTTGGAGGACCACAAATCTTTATAAATTATTTTCACAAAATATATAACAATATATATAAAATCTTGGTCTTTTTTTAATTTTTTCATATAAATCTAAGTTCACATGCACGCATACACGTTCTGAGTTATCGTTTTCTTTGCATTATCATCTCACATATATATATATATATAAGATTCTTTGCATTTTCTTATTGTCTTATTCAAATAAAAAATCCAATATTTTTGATGGGTTTTGAACCCTAAATTCCTGGCATCAAACACTCACACATCCACATGCAGAATTACTCAATCATACAAAGAATTAATGGTTGATTCATCATTCTGTTTTCATTAATTAAAGCAAGTGGGTGATAAAACAGTATTGGTTTAAATGTTTTTAAATCCTGAAATAGGAGGGGAAACAAGTTATATATGTTTGAAATTTCGATCATAATGTATTTGGTTGAAATTGATAAAAATATTTTCAAATCGAAATGTATGTTTGAAATTTATTTAATTTACATGCATATTGTGGGTAAAACTATAATATTGTGTATTTTTTTTATATAAAATTAAAAAAAAAAAAAAAAAAAGAAGTAGAAGAAGAAGAAGAAAAGAAAAGGCATAAGATTATATCATAAGTTTTATATTCATAACTGTTGCGTTATTATTTTAGACGTAAATATAAATTATATGATTATATGATCACTGACAACTAACGATTGTTTTTTAAAATAATATCATATTATATAATTACAATACAATACTTAATATACAAATTTGAGATGTATATCAGTGCTCTTATTATATAAAAATCCCACTTGTTTAATATTGGTATTAACTTAATCAGTTGGCACAAAGCATTCGATCAATAAGGATATGCCGCCCACTAATTAGAATTGTAAATTAATTAAGAAGGAGATGGAATCTTCATTGCACTTAGTGAAAGCAAAAATTATTATTTGTGTTTGCTGATGTATCTTGATGTGTGTAAATAAGAAGACAATAAAATCAAGTCAAAAAGGATGTGGACTTTATAACCACAAAAGCTGTTTGGGAAATATTAGTTTTGTTTAATATATAGTGCTTTCGTATGTTATGTGATTCTATAAAAAATTATCATCATTTGGGAGTAATTTTATTCGTCTTACTAAGAGATCGATAAGTATCAGGTGTGTCAACCATTTTTCAAAACTAAAAAAACATTGTAAGACTATTAAGAACTCTAATAATATCATATATATTTTAGTAGTTTTTGAAAATCACGAAAATGATTTTAACTTACATATGAATGAAATTAATCCTAAGAATTTTGTGTCCAAAAATGTATTTCTGATTCCACAATACTCCAAAAGTGAAGCTCAATTAATGCACTGTGTTTATATGTAGGTCTCCTATTTGGTGCTAGGCCATAAAATAATTTCATCTGTCTTCTGAATCATTAAGGAAATGGAAAAATTCATATAAAGAGTTTGTTTATGTACATACGTGTTACACTGTTACGAGAGTGTTTTTAGCATTTTTAGTATTTTTTTAAAACAATATTTCTTCAATGACAGATTGCAACAATCTATTGGTTTGTCGGCAAGAAAGGTCAATGTTGAAGTGCATGCCAACCTAAACATCGATGATGTATTGTTGTGGTGCTGAGATTTTCAACTTTCAAGTACAATGGAAAGGGAGACAAAGTGGAGACAAACCCAATTTTGTTCCTAAGTGGATCCCATTAAAACGCAATGTGGGCCCTTGATTACTCCTGTCAAATTCAAATTCTCATCAACCTACTTTAAGATTGACACGTGTCATCTTTCTCATCCCTTCATTATTTTCACGCAAATCCATTTTATCTCCTATTTTAGGGAAAATTACAATGTCATCCCTGAGGTTTAGCCTAGGTACCTTTGGTCTAGTTAGAATCTTTTAGTAACATTTTGATCCCTATCAGAGTATCAGTAAGACAAAAGTACCCTTATATCGTTTAATAAAAGGAAATTTCTTGACTGATAAAGACCGTAGTTTTACTAAAAAAAATTATTGGAATCAAGTATTACTTAGGTTGAACCGTAGGGATGAAATTGTAACTATAGCCTTTATTTTAAGAGCGGCACTTAATTAAAGGAAATTGGTTTTGAGAAAATTTGAAGAATTAGGTAAGAGCACTATTTTGTTTTCTCAAATATGAGAAGATGACATAATGTACTTTGACAAATTGATGGTATGATTTGTGAAAATCTTCATAGATTTGAAGGACCAAGTTCGAGAATGAT